AATGTTTTAAGTCTTCGCCGCAGGACCCCAGTGCCTCCTGTCTCCCAAAGTACGGATCTTACACTTCAGTTTTCCAATTTGGTGGAAAGTTCCTGACAATGGAAATTGATAACTCCTCTTGCAAACTTTGTAAGTGAAAGAAGCTAATTCAAGAAGAGAGTCCAAAAAAAGCCTTCGAGATCCATTTCCTCCGACGAGGTCCAATTGAGGCTTTCCTTCCCTTCCCTAACCAAACAAGGTAAAACAAAACCATTCCCCTCCCTTCCCAGTCCTTCACATCCATCCCTTCCCTCTCAACCAAACAAGCCCTTGAGGAATATAGTACATGTCAGGCAAGTGGACAGGGATTTGCACTTCAAATGCACCTATGAAAGAGTCCCCTTCTTTTGTGAAACATGTAGAACCCTTGGTCATAAAAGTTGCACCAGATAAATCACAGGTGATGATCCTGGTAAATAGTTAAAGCAGCAAGATGCAGTGAAGGAAAAGGACAAGGAGAAGAAAGTTGAAGAGGAGCCTTGGCAGACAGTTCACAAGGAGGAGCCTTGGCAGAAAGTTGGGGGGGTGGAAGACACTTGATGGGTTCGAGAAGTGTACTTATGGTTGCTGACGGTGGGAAACGACAGTTGACGAGGGGTGACGAAAATTGAATTAGAACAATAGATTTGTTTTTCAATTTTTTTTGTCTTTTTCTCTTCAACTCAGATCTCCATAGATTTTTATTTTCAATTTCTTCATAGCCCTTCCTTTATCTTGAATCTATATTTGTTTTGATTTTCCACTTCCTTGTCACTGAGCGCAGTGGCAGGGTATAAATAGAGACTGAGAAGAAGAAAGAAAAAATTTAAGAACGGATAGAGATGGAGTAGACAGTGGGTGAATGAAGAACATAAAAATGGATAGAGGTTGAGACATGACTATATTAGTATACTATATTATGAAATAAGTGAAAAGAATCCAACAAAGTGAATAAATATTGACCGTATGGATATTGTATGAGAAGAACTAACAAGGACAAAAGGAGTAGATAAATCAAATTGCAAAAGGCTTCAATCAAAAATCATGAATTGAATCATGAACAGTATTTAGGAATGGATTATCATATACAATTTAAATTTGGTCAATTAGTTTTAACTTCTAAGAGAAAAATAAAGTAATCACACTAATGCTATTTAGTGTGGTACACATTTTATTTAAAGGATAGTCAAGGACCCAAATAATGTTCTCGCAACTGCAAGTCTACATCACATAAACCCAAGCAATATACTCCCTCCATCCTTTAATAAACTTTACATTTTGGTTTAGAATTTTTAAAGAACTTTTTTTTTGAATTCAATTTATTTAAGTCTTGGTGTAAAGTTGAAAAATATTTATACATCTAAAAACTGCATCAAAAGCTCTACAATACCAACAATGACAACTTTTTTATCATAACAAGGGATTTACACAAATATAAAGAAAGACAACATAGTTTGACTATGTGAATAGTGAGAATGAAGTTTATTTAGCAATGAAGAGAATATCAAATGCTTGTGGCTTTCCTTTTTATTCTTTATAAGGCTTTTCAAAAAATAATTCTAAACTTCTCCAAAAAGTATTTAAAAGTGACCTTAAAAATATATATGGCTCAACAAAAAAAGGTTTAAAAAAACATCTCTGGAACACAAAAAGAATGCAAGGATAACTGGCTTGGGAGTGAAATAGAATTAGACCATATTAATAGCACTTAAAAAAATTTAAAGCAAAATATAAGAAGGTAAGAATGAAAGACAATAACTTAAGGTGACAGAAGAAGGGTACAAATTACAATAAAAACAAAGAATAAACTTAGCCTAAACTCATGCAAATTAAAGGTAAAGGAAACATGATCAGCGCTCCTTTGAAATGAAAAATGCAGTGGAGGCATAAAACTACACATCCAAACATGCATTTTGATATATGATTAATTAAATTTAAAATTAAAATTCCAATACTTGCCAGTAAAACAGGTAGTAGGAGCCGTGATCTTCATGAAAAATGGGCTCTTAGTCCCCTAGCAAGATTCCCAATTGCTTGTATGGCTTCGAACAGCTACAGCAATGTTCACATCAGTGATGACCTACAATGTAATGAATCAGCAACAATGCAACGAATAGAAACAAAAATGTAAATTATACAAGTAAAATAAGCACGGTGTTGCGCCAAAAACAATTCAAGCGCTTATTTGGAATTGTTCAGATGAGAAATGAACAATAAATTAACATGCCTTCTTCAATGTGTGGCAAATTTCAGAAAAATCTCAAGGTGCTATTCTCTTTGTCGATGCAAGCTTTGTTAACTCTGCAACAGCATCCTTTCGTTCTGACCACTTTGCAGCTTTCTGAAATAAAAAACAAGTAAAATAAAGGAGGAATACAAGACAAAAAAAAGAATGATTTAGTTGACCAAGTAACAGACATTCATCAGTTGCTCAAAAGAACAAAAAAATGCAATAGTGAACAAACCACTCCATCCCAAATACCAGACTTTCCAAGAGGAGTTAAAATATCAACAGGATCAACAAGTTCATATTCATCTATTTCCTGTGGGCTGACAGAAAATAGAAGAATTCGGGTCAGTAAAATATAATATCACACACCATGTTTCCTATACAAGCTTTAAGAACCATTTCTCTACTTTGGAGTTTGGACCAACCCACAATAACTGAGATCAATATTGATTTCAACAAAATAGAGATAAATGTTCAAAGTAGTTACATACTGTCAGCAGCGGATTCTTCAAAAGGGCCAGAGCAAGCTGTCGTGGGCATAGCATCCTGTTCTAGCACCTTGTCTTGGGCAGATCTGGCAAAGATTAACCAGAAATTTTAGAGGTTTAGGCATTTCAAATCTCTGCAGGAGAAAAAGTTCAGGAAACAGACTGCACCTTATTTTGCGAGTTGGCTTTGCAGTCCCGGTAACGTTAACAAGCTCAGCCTCAAGTTCTTTTTTCTTATAATTAAAAAAAAGAACAATAAGAATCTGCCTAACATGAACAGATAAGCAGCAAAATTAGGATTGAGGTATATAGCATACCATTGTATCACGCATTTTTTCAAAAAGTATAGATTTCACTGGATCCTTCCCAACCCATCGACATAGTTCCAATGTTAGGCCCTTAGAACAAGCTCGGACACTCTGATCCTGATGGTCAAATAATTCAGGAAGCATCTTCAAAATTCTTTTTGGTGGGATAACCTTTGAGCCACATTCTCTGCTCATTGATGGGGAAGAGTCATTAAAACTCAAATCATCAAATAAATATTTAAAAAACAGGTAAGACAGAGGACCAGATTCCGGTGAACCTTAAGGCCTGAAACATGACATCTACCGCAGGTACAACAGCTTTTACAACTTTATTTTTAATTGCTTTCTCCATAGCATCCTACAATGTGTCAGACTGATGTGTAACATAAACCATTACTATTCCACAATAGAGTAACTCACTGTCCCTTAAATGAGACATTCCTCACTTGACATATTTCAAGTTGCTAAATGTTAAATCTTCAACAAACTTTATAGTTGCAAGCTACTCTTACACAACCTAGCATAATCCCAACTCTGTAGGGTCAAGGTAGTGAAACAGACAAATTGATTCCTAGAGTCGTGCAAATTCCAAAAGATTGTTAAAAAGAATAACAATTTCAGCAAGATCATGGCAGACATGGTTCAGTATCATTGAATGAATAGGATCAGTCCAGTTCAAGCAATATCAAAGATATAAAGAGTCCAATTCTTACCACTTCGAACGCACAAATTTTATGAGTAACATGTCGTCTACAGTCTACTACTTGCACTACAGCCTGAAAAATCATACACCTGTCTATGCCTAAAAACCTCCAAAAATACTCCCTAGTTCTCTTCCTTAACCGCCCTCTAGGGCGTTGACAACGTGAAAAAATGCTCTAGATTGTCTCTGATTATTCAATAAGGGCCTGTTCTTTAAGACTGGAAAAAAAGAGCTGGAAACTGGAAGAAACTGGAAAAAACTAGAAGGAACTGGAAGAAATTGGAAGAAACTGGAAAAACTGAAAAAAATTAAAAAAATTAAAAAAAATTAAAAAAAATTGAAAAAATAGAATAAATTGTAAAATATAAAAAAAGTTTTTTAAAAATTTTTATGTGTGGTTTTAAATTATTCTCATTCTGATTCTTGTTGATATAAATTATTATTATTACTATTATTATTATTATTATTATTGTTGTTGGTGGTGGTGGTGGTAGTGGTGGTGTTATCACGTTATCCAAATGATTGTCTTTAAAATAAAAAAATATTACGAATATTATTTTTCATACATAAAAAGATATTTTAAAAAATTAATTAGAATATAAAATTAGCATAAATATCAAAATGTTAAATAGTTAAGAGTTATTATAGCTATGCTGTATTTATTATAAAATAATATATTTGTAATTATATTTTATACATTACAAGATTTTGTTTTAAATATCTGACATGTCACATAATGTAATCACTTATTTTTTCTTTAAGGATTGACAATTTATTTCCATTGTAACCCTATTTTTGAATAAAAGCATAGAACTGGTATTATTCAAATTAAAAAGTTGAAGAAAAAAATAATGAATGTGAATCATAAAAATAGTGAGATGAAAAAATGAAATAATTTATAAACTATAGTTATGAACATAAAAGTTTTAATTAAAAAAAATTGTAATAATAATAATAATTATAATAATAATATATTTTTTTTAGAGTTATTTGTCAAAAGGTAGAAAGAATTTGAAGAAAATAAATATAGTTGGAAGAAATTAGAAGAAACTGGAAAAAACTGGAAGGAACTGGAAAAAACTGAAAGAAATGGAAGGAACTGGAAAAAACTGAAAGAAATGGAAGAAACTGGAAGAAACAGGAAAGAACTGGAAGGAACTGGAAAGAACTGGAAGTTAAGAGTTCAAGTCCTAAAGAACAGGCCCTAAATTCAGATGCAATTATATCTTTTTCTCTCCAATTATTCTTCTATTTATTCAGGTTCTCCCATTCTTCTCAATATTCCAGACTTCCACCTGACTTGCGATCAATGATTGATGTATCAACAGAAGATGTGTTGGTGTCTGTGTGTATTTAAGTGTGTAAATACATATATGTAAGTAGGATCTTATGATTTGAGCCTATGACCCTACGATTAACGATCATTTATTTCTACTCCCATCCTACATATAATTTCGAGTTTGAATACCTTGCTTAAGGGTCTTGGGTTCAGATGTACGCCCCCGCCTGAGGTCAGGATATTCTTAGTTCTTACAATACATAAAAAATGATTTTGGGACAATGTGAAAAGCCAATTTATCACTATAGTGGAGCAAACCCAATTATTGGTCTTACTAATTTAATTCTTCACCAAAATCAAATTTCATTGTCAAACTTAGTGGGGGAAATTACTTTTTTCATTGTGAGAATTACTTTTTTCATCAGCGCTCGCATTTTTCCTCTGACTTTCTCAATATTGTGACCAGACTGTTGTATCACATATAACTGTCAGTCAGATTAACATTTTATATGGTTAAATAAAGACCAAACAGCCCACAACACGAGCAAAGGGGGAACTAGAACCTTTTCAACTAAGCATGGAAGAAAAATGGCTGCTTCAGCTTCTGTCATGGTGCAGCCTTCATTCCTCAGCATATCAAAAAGCTCAGGAAGGCACTCAAGCACCTAACAAAATTAGCAAGGAGATTCATTGTAAAATATATAATGAGTACTGTAAAATAATTGTCATTGTCGAGGTGAGGAAAGAAGAGAAGTAAACAAGAGAAGTTTTAACAGCACACAATAATTGTAGAGGTGAGGAAACAAGAGAAGTAAACAATTAACATTGCAATTAAACTATTAATTACAAAAAACAACCTTCAAAATGCATGCAGTGTTGTTGGATTCACAGAATCTCAAGACAAACCACCTTAAGAGTATGTCAAGAACTTCAATTATTTCCTTTCTTGAAGATGGCAGCGCCTGAAAGTTTTGGAAAAAACAATTAAATAAAACTACCCATTTCTCCCAATGATGCAAAAGTAATCCAGTAAACTTTAAAGACCTCAAGATCTTGAATCTGTTCAAGACGTGGCTCCTCAAACTTAAATTTGCGAATTACAGTTCTCTCTCTCTCATCCTGTAATTATATCAAGATAGCCAATCCTGAGTCATTCATAGATTACAGATATCCTGAATTCAATTACAGAAAATACACCTTGTTAGAGTCCTTAATATTTATCAAAGCATGTGACTGTAAACCGATCCCCAGGGAAGAAATGAGGGACTCCTGCCTCGAACTCTTCACACGAAAAACTTTCTGAATAACAGCAAATTGTTAAGCATCTGTGTCTGTAAATCGACAAACACAAGTAAAAATACAAGCACCAACATGTACTGAACAACCCACTCTGTTTTCAAAGTGAGGCGCAGGGGCATTGGATTTTCCCAACATTGGGTTGTTTTTGGTCGAGAGCACAGTTGTTATTGTTTTGCCTGATTCAACCCAACCTCTATTCCTCTCCATTCCATTTTCTCTCTTTTTTCAATGGCTTTTGGCAAAAATAATAAATCTCATAATGCTCAAGATGTTTTATTTATGTTTTGACTTTTGGTACACCGTACTGCTTCGTACCGAAATGAACTACCCCCCTTCGTACCGAATTTGTCACCTCTGGCGAATTTTGTACCCGTACCGCGTACCCGTACTGCAATTTAGGTGCCTATGATTGTGACTGTGACTCTCCCAACCCGGGGGGCATTGACTCTCCGTGACTGAGTAGGTTGAGAAAGAATGTATGGACAGACAAAGTATATTCTAATAGAGCCGATAGCACTCAAAAAAGGAAAATCCATTAACGAAGTACATTTATAACTTCAGACTTGGGAGCAGCAACCAGTAAGTATCACTCAACGTTTGTTAAACAATAAAACCCGATATGGAATACATAATGAGGCAGATGTACAAACTCAGAATATATTAGTAATATTTAAATAAAATTATACGGAGTAATTAGTTAAAACTGATAGGGTAACAAGTACAAAAATACCTTTTATTAATGTAAGCCATAAGCTTGTTTGTGAGATAACAGATCTGATGCAATGGATAAAGGCTCCGGACATTGGAAGCATGATCCAGGAGATACCCATTCAAGACAAGGTTGCAGAATTCCTCAGCCTCATATAAAAGTAACACATATTTAATGTCGACAGGTTCAGAAGGAATCTGAAACATACAAAAAAAGCCCTAAATTATTTCAAGATAATTTTAATGGGGAAGATTGATCGGCTACAAGAGCTCAGAAGAAATTAGTACTCCCTCCGTCCTATGATCTTCCCAGAGCACTATTCCAACTTCACGGGAATTTATATTTATTTGTGTTTTTTCATGGCCTATATGATAAAATAAAATATTCTTGTCACCACTTATTTTGTTGAACTTTTGATGTAGTTTTTAAAAATGTATGTTTTATTTTTTATTTCTATACCAATATTTAAATAAAATAGATTGAAAAAACTTGGGATTTTTCTTCGTTTTGCAAACCGGGAAGATCATTATAGGACGGAGGGAGTAGTAGTATTATTTTTTAAACGAATGCAAAGATGACCATTAAAAAATAAACACACAAATTGGCAACAAATTATCACAAACGTATGCAAAGATGACCATGATCCCCGGTAACCGCCCTACCACAAGAAGTTATTCGTGAGGTAAAAAAAGTCAAATTCTCAATGCAAACGTGGCCATGATCTCCCATAACAGCCCAACCACAATAAAGTATTTTTGCAATTTTTACTGATGCAGCACTAAATACCTCATTTTATCGCTTGAAAGTAATCTTATATATGGAGTAAGTGATATGAATCCTTCGGTTAAAAGTTCCCATAAATAAATGAATATAGAGATGGGATACTACTATGTCTTGATAGGCTCAACTCAAAGTCTCAAACTCAACACTCATATAACTAGGGTAAGGCTTGAAACATATGCACAAGTACTCTAGCATAAACAAAATATGACCTTGTGGGGAAAAACTTATATCTTGTATAATCATTGAAAAGAGATCCTGACAACCAACAGAAATTGATCACGCCAACATAAATACAACTTTAGACCATCTAATAAAGAAATAAAGAAACAAAGGTAATGCAATCTCAAAGTACGGTCTGGGGAAGGTGTGTGTACCCAGACCTTATCCCTACCCGAGGGCCGAGAGTAGAGAGGCTACTTCAAAGAGACCCCCGGCCCAACACAGCAGTAGCACATTGGACAAAGTAATAACACAGAGACAAGTACACACACTAACACTAACAACACGACCCAAAGCACATAGAGCATACATGTACAATGTTGTACCTCAGACCCGCAGTGGTCTACGATATAAACTTAAGAAGAGGAAGAAGAAGAGAAGGAGGTAGAAATATAGGGGAGGCTGAATTCAGGAGGAAACAAAGGAGAGGGAAAGAAGCATTTATCAAGTGAATAATAAGAGGAATCACACACTTATCTTCACTCGGGTTAAACTCTAGTATTTAAATAAGGAATCACTCAACTTATTTAATATATCTAGAACCTAAAACTCCCACTTAAGAGAGCCACTCTTAAGATATAGAATTAGGATTTTATATATATAAGTTAGAGAGAGAACTGAGCAAGAAACTTATATTATCACAATATATTTTAAAAGCTGACTAATACAAAGAACCGGGGCTGAAATATATAGGCCATGGAATGGAGAAACTGTTAGGATCGAATCAAGAACACTCACAGAAATCCGATGAAGAAAGAGAAGAAAAAAAACGAGAGAGTAAAAGTAGAGAGAAAGTGAAACACGTGAAATAACGTGGTAACACCCCGTGAGTAAACTTCCACGGCGGCTAGATGTGTTTATTGATGATTTCAGGCAGAGAGAATTTGTCTGTTGCCTCTCTTTAAAAAATTAGCTACAAAGGAGAATATATAGGCATTACAACCTCTACTTACTTAACCATTAAGAAAACTTAGTCATTAAGCAAACTTAGCCATTAAGGAAACTTAACCATTAAGAAAGCTTAGCCATTAAGTAAACTTAGCCATTAAGCAAACTTAACCATTAAGCAAACTTAATCATTAAGCATCAGGCTCCATAACCTAACAATTCTCCCACTTGGAGACTGATCCAATCATCTCAGAAATTGCCAACATCATCAATGTCTTCACCGCACCGCAACATCTGTAGTGAACAACTACAGAAGACCAACAGAGGTCTTGCACAACCCCAGTTTCCCAACATCAACATGTTTTGTCAACATGTCTGCCGGGTTCTTTGCACCCTCTATCTTCTCCAAGCTCATGTCACCAGCCTCTACTGCCCTGCGAGTGAAATGGTAACGTCTTCTGATATGCTTGGTCTTCGAATGATAGACTGGATTTTTCACCAATTGGATGGCACTTTGGCTATCTGAGTAAAGGATCTTCTTGCTCTGCTTCTTTCCCAACTCTTCCAGATAGTCTGACATCCAAATCATCTCTTTCCCAGCTTCAGCTATTGCCACATATTCAGCTTCAGTAGATGAAAGAGAAACACACTTCTGAAGCTTGGACATCCAACTCACTGCTGTTCCACCTATGGTGTAAATGTACCCAGATGTACTCTTGCTCGAGTCCACATCTCCACCAAGGTCAGCATCCACAAAACCCTGTAGAATCACTTCACCTTTNTATCTTCTCCAAGCTCATGTCACCAGCCTCCACTGCCCTGCGAGTGAAATGGTAACGTCTTCTGATATGCTTGGTCTTCGAATGATAGACTGGATTTTTCACCAATTGGATGGCACTTTGGCTATCTGAGTAAAGGATCTTCTTGCTCTGCTTCTTTCCCAACTCTTCCAGATAGTCTGACATCCAAATCATCTCTTTCCCAGCTTCAGCTATTGCCACATATTCAGCTTCAGTAGATGAAAGAGAAACACACTTCTGAAGCTTGGACATCCAACTCACTGCTGTTCCACCTATGGTGTAAATGTACCCAGATGTACTCTTGCTCGAGTCCACATCTCCACCAAGGTCAGCATTCACAAAACCCTGTAGAATCACTTCACCTTTGCCAAAACAAAGTGAAGTGCTGGATGTACCTCTTAGATATCTCAGAAGCCACTTCACAGCTTCCCAATGCTCTTTCCCAGGGTTAGTCATGTACCTGCTAACAACTCCCACTGCATATGCTATGTCAGGTCTAGTGCAGACCATAGCATACATTAAACTCCCAACCGCCGAAGCATATGGAACATGTGTCATGTGCTCTCGCTCCTCAGTCGTCTTGGGTGACTGCTCCTTTGACAATTTCATGTGATTTGCCAACGGAGTAGTCCTGGGTTTAGCATCATTAACCCTGAATCTAGTCAGCACCTTCTCAATGTACTGCTCCTGAGATAGAATTATAGTGCCAGCAGATCTATCCCGAGAAATCCTCATCCCCAAAATCTGCTTTGCCGCACCCAAATCCTTCATCTCAAATGCTGAAGACAGCTTTGCCTTCAGACTGTTAATCTCCCTCATACATATTCTGCAATCAACATATCATCCACATACAAGAGTAGAAAGACATAAGAATCAGTGTATTTCTTGAAGTAACAACACTGATCCTTTTCAGCCTTACAGAAACCACTCTTGATCATGAAGGAGTCGAACTTGTTATACCACAACCTTGGTGCTTGCTTTAGTCCATACAAACTCCTGTTGAGTTTGCATACCATGTGTTCCTTGCCCGGAACAACAAATCCTTCTGGTTGTTGCATATAGATCACCTTGTCCAGATCTCCATGTAAAAACGCTGTTTTCACATCCATTTGCTCTAAATGCAAATTCTCCGATGCAACAATACTCAACAGAATTCGGATAGAGGTTAACTTCACAACAGGAGAAAATATTTCAACATAATCAATACCTTTCTTTTGTGAATAACCTTTAACCACTAACCGAGCCTTGAACCTCTTCTTCCCATCTGGTTCAGTCTTGATCCTGAACACCCACTTGCTCAACAAAGCTCTCTTCCCTGCGGGTAACTCAGTCAACACCCAAGTGTTGTTCCTCTCAAGGGAGCTCATCTCATCATCCATGGCTTGCTCCCACTTGACTGAATCCTCCACCTGTATGGCCTCATCAAAGGACTCTGGTTCTCCTTCATCAGTTAGCAACAGATAGTGTAATGAAGGTGAATACCTATCTGGTACCCTGCTAATCCTGGATGATCTCCTCAACAC